TTCTCGAATTGAAGAAGGATGGGATGCTCTCTTTTTTATTGCTATTTTCCTTAATTGTGGTGTTAAGGTCATCATTAAGATTTCTGTCATCTTTGTGTTTTTATAGTCGTGCGTATTTAGTGAATATGCTTTTCGAACTAGTGTTTCGATTCGTACTGCTATTTGCTTGATGGTTTCGTTTGGTAATCTGCGAATTTCATTACATAAAACTCTTTGTTGTTGTTTGTTTCTTTCGGAGTCAAACATTTTTGAAAATTCTTGTGTAAACCTTTTCCAGTTTGATTTTATTTCTAGAGGTAGTACTGAAAACCATTTTTGGGCTGCGCCATCTAAGGTTGTTTGTATTAACGCTGTGCGTCGATGTATCCAGTTTTGATGTAGTGGCGTATTAATTGGTTCAGGTCCAATGTTTAAAATCAGGTTTGCTGTTACTGCATTTAAATAATCTTCTACAGAGTATTCAGGATCTGTTCCTGTGAAAACCATTAAAGGTTTGTTTGATGTTATTGATGATCCACCCATAAGGTATGGATTCATTGTCATTTGTAATGATTCTGCTGCATTTGGCATTTGAGAAAAATTTGAAAGTTGGTTTCTTGTTATTTCATGTTGTTGGAGATAATATGGGAGTGGTATTTCATTTTGCATTTGTGATGGTTGATACGAGTGTGCAGTCATTGGATTTTGTTGTTGAATTGGTTGAAAAGATTGTGTATTAATTAGATTTTGTTGTTGAATTGGTTGTTGATGTTGTGCATCTATTGGTTGTGGAGAAAAATTTCTATGATTTGTACGTGTTTTCTGTATTCCTTGTCTACGATATTCTTGAGTATTTGGTGCAAATATATCTGGTTGTAAGAAATCATCATCTGAGGATAAATAATCCATTTGATAAGATGTCTGTTTTTTATTTTTATTTTGTTGAAAAAATGGGTAATTTTCACTGTGATCCTGTGGAGGATTTGTTTGGAAATTTATTGAATTAGGTTGGGTCATTGGGTTATCCCAATTTCGAGATCTTGTATATTGGTTAAAATTTCTTTGTGGTTGAATATATGTTTTTGATGGATGTGTATAATTATAATTATGGTCTGCAAAGTTGTTTCTAGTGAATGTTTTGCGTGTTTTTGATGGTATTGTCATGGGTCTGTATGTTTGGTAATCCATATGTGAATATTTAGGAGCAACCGAAGGTTTAACGGTTGATTGTAAGGTTACCTGTGTTTGTGAAGGATTTGTATTTCTTGGTGTTGTTAAATTTGGGCGTATTGGTGAAATACTTTGTTGTGTAGTTGTTGTGTGTACAATTTCTTCATTTATGAAATGTGATGGTGTCTGGATATCTTGTTGAGTAAGATTCCTAGTTCCATTGAGGTTTTCATTGTGTATAACGGTAGAGTTTAAACTATTATTTTGTGTATCGGGCAAAAATGTATTATAGTTTAATGGTGTTGCATCAATGGTTAATGGTATTACTTTTACATAATCTCTTATGTAAGATATGGTACTTATTGCTTGACTTGAGATTGATTGTGGGAAGCTTATAAATGCGGGATGAGACCATTCGGGGTCCCAAACATAATCTGATTGTTCTGTGATAGCGGTATCATCGTTCGAGTTTTGGGGTCTAAAATTTTTTCTTGCTTGTGCAATTAAATCAATATTGTGTGTGAAATAATCTATTATGAACCATGCCAAAATTTTTTGTAGATCGTGTTTTGTATGTTGTGAAACGTCGTCTTTCGTGAAATTTTCTTTAATGATGTTTAAATAACTAGAGAGTAGTGTGATTTCATGTCGTACTCTTAAATGTTTAGATGTTTCTGTCGGTGAGACATTTGTTATTGGAATTTCGTTTTCTAATATCGAAATATAACTATATATTATTGCGAAAACTTCATTAGTGAATATGGAGTTTGCTCTTTGTGAGTTATGATATTGGATGCTTTTTATATATTCTGAAAAAACTTTTGAAATTTCTAAATCAAGATCGTCTGTTTGGATTGTATATTTTCTATTATTATGGTTTGGTGAGGTGAATTCTATGGAGTAGATTCCATACTGTTGTGTTATGTTGCATATATCTTTTAAGTAGTGGTCTATGATTTGTCTTTTGATTTTTACATCTGGGAACTCTGTTTTACATGGACTGATTCCGGGTTCAAATAAATTTAATAGTAAATTTTTGCAAAATATATGCTGTCCTCTATCAGTGGTTGCATCTACTATAAAGGGAAAGATTTCATCATCATCTGGACTTTCGTCACCTGGGGTGTGCGTTGAGCTCATTTTTTCGTTCGATGACTGTTAATATGTAATTATTAATGTGTCGAAATGGTTGATTCCAATTGTATAAATGTACTGGTTTGTGTTTATACTGCTTTTTTATTCTTCTTTTTCCTCTTTTTGATGAATTTGAAGTTGTTTCTGAGTCAGAAAAATATAATTGATCGTGAATTGGGCAATTTTTATCTATTGATTCTTTTAGTTTGTAAAGTTCGTCTAAACTGTTGGTTTCTGATTCTGAAAATGCGTTTCGATTTTTTGAAAATCTTTTTCGTGTTATTTGTCTTTGTTTCGTTATTATTTTTCTTTTTAGTGTTTGTCGTTTTGTTCGAATGTATCCAACTGTTTGTGTATGAGGTGTGATTACAAGGTCGTATTTTTTGTTATCTATTTCACAATTGTGTAAAACGATTGTTTGTTTATTTCCTAGGTTTTTAAATGACATAAGGTTTAGGATGACGGATGCAAAAGGTTGTTAAATGACTTCTATTTTCCTAAACTGTTAGTTCTTACGATTTTTTGGTTAGCTTAACCTGGGTCTATTTGTTCAGGGTTGGAGAGAAAAGTATATCGATTCCGAAGAATGATTTTTTACTTTCTCGTGGCTAGTATAAGTTAAGGTGTTAACTTACTTAATCTTACTTAGGGGTAGTGATTGTGTTCAAGGGTTGGAGAATAGTAAATCGATCCACAAGGTTCAGGTATAATTAGAACGCGAGTAGTTCGTTAGATACTATTTTAAACTTACTAAGTCTAAGATTTATCCTGGGTCTGGTAAGAGGGGGGGTCAAGTGAAGGATGAATAACCGAAGTTCTTCACTGTTTATCCTAATTTGAATGATTAGTTTTGTTTAAAAATTTCTATTAGTCTTAGGTCTTTAGAAAGGGTTGGGTAGTGAATCGACGTTTGAGGTCGTTAGACACTAATTAAGTGGGTGGGGGAGAACAAAGTTGTTCTGTTTGATCCAAGGATAAGCCTTGATGATCAAATTTGAAATTTAATTAAGTAGAAAATGATTTAAGATCCAAGGATAAGCCTTGATGATCTGGTTTTAAAATTAAGTGAATTTAGGTTTTAATAAAATTTTAAATGTGTGTAAAGGAAAGATTTAGTGTTTTGATGATATTAGTGGGTTTATGATTGCTGTTATGTTTTAGGTGATGGAGCTGGAACAACAGGATGATTTATGATTACTAACCATTTATTGTCATGCTACTAATTTTTATTTTTTATTTTTCAATAAATATTTTTCAAACATGTTTTGTATATTACTGCAGAGTTTTAGGAAAACGATCTTAGATCTTTTTATCAATCGTTATTGTATATTAATAATTTTGTTTAGCGCCTGAAATGATTTTGAAGATTAGCTTCAAGGTTTTATGTTTGCAAATGAAAATCTAAATTCATTGCCAGTAGTATTCTAAATATAAAAGTTTGTTCTGGTTTTTGCCTAACTATCATATAGCTATATGGCAAGTTTCTACTTTGTCGTATGTCGTCTCTGGTTCGAGGTCTTCTTCCAATTCCGGGTAGTTCTGTTATGGTTCGGAATATTGGCTCTGATCTATTGAGTCGTAGAGACATTTCGATTAAATTACTGTCGTATAACATTTTGTAAATGTTTTTGTCTAATTTCTAATCTATTTTGGTTAATTCTAAGCTATTAAGGTCTTGTTCGAGACTTATGGTCGCACCAGATGAGTTAGGACCGAGTTGGTTAACTCATAGAGTAATTTCGGATAGGGTACACCGTCTGCTCGTCACGCTATCTTATTTTCGGCCGGATAGATTCGTGCAACTTCTTAGTCTAATACCGATCCTAATCTTACTCTTATACTATCTAGTCTCAGGTTGTTTAACTAGTCTCTGCTAGGCTCAATAGATCTAGGGTATACTGGTTTATTGCGGCTGCTGAAGTGCTCGGGAGAGTCCAACTAATTTCTAAGTTAAATTCAAATCTCTCTGGTGCTGAAATTACAAGTAACTTCAGCACTTACAAATAAGTGGGTTGTTAGTTAGATGGATCATGATTGGTTAATATTAAATACTTTACATTGGTAAAATATCTAAATTATCCAATCATAAAATGTAGTTTAGATCAGGTTCCAGAAGACATCACCACAAATGCAGATAAATTTTTGAAAACAACAGATGTCAAAGTATATAACCTTACTACTGATAAAAACGGGTTTCTCGACAGAAAAGGACCGCAACAGTATCTTTCACAACTGTTACGATGGTACCGAAAACTACACGCACGCCAGCTGCTACAATAGAAATAGTATCAGTCAAATTGTCAATGACGATTGACATCGAAAATCTCGTAACTGTGGAACAACTACCAGGACGCCTGCACATCCCATTTTGTTTCAACAACCAGGACTATTTCAGACCGAAAGCAATAGTCGCCAGTTCTTTCAGTTCCAATGATTTCAATGGATCAGCAAAAAAAAATTTCAACCTGACGTTCACAAAGAGAAGCACCTCTTGCTTTGATCCATTTTCCAATTCATAATGAATTATTCGGTACAACTGCTAGCACGGGCGACACACTAAAACACCGTTTCAGCAGAAGTGAAAACCGAAGCCAAAACTCGGAAGACATAGCAACAACGAAAAACAACAAATTTAGCATTATTCGTTGACAACGGCTTCAACAAAATTCAGATTGTTATAGATATTAAGAACTACTCCAACTGAATCGTTTTATAGAAGAAACAAATGAACATCAAGCAAATTGAACAACAGAGCAGTTACGACAAGGACAAATTTCAAAGCCCGCATCTAATCACAGCCAAAATAATCATTTTTGGACCCAACAAAAGAACAACTGAAGGTGGAATCCCTCATGCGCGAAGGAACGAATGCGCGAAAATACAAATCAGCCAATCAGATTTCAGTAATCTAAAAGTTGAAAGAAAGTAGGGACTGAAGTATTGATATTGGCCGAATATAAAAACGGCAGATATATGCAAGTTTTCAAATTGTCACTGAACGCCGCTGAATAAGAACAAATTTTATATTTCAAGGGCTTCGTTATGAAAGACGCAAAATACAGCTTCAATTAATTATTTTTAATTGAATGGCATTTGCTTCTTTTTATAAATTGACTTTCGGCTAATTTTGTTTTTGGTCCTTCGCTCGCGAGTTTTTTTGCGCATTCAGTCTTTCCCGCATGAGAAAAGCCCCCCAACTGAAACCCCACAGAAGACAAACGGCAAACTGTCAACAACAAATCGACAACGTGAACAGGGAGACTAAAACCCTCTATTTACTAAAAGACAAAGGGTCAAGCCAATCAATTGGACGCCCTTTTTTGAAAGATTAGATTGCTTACGGCAATTTCTTCCTTTTTTTAATACAAGTTTTAACATTTTCAGCAACGTTCAGCAGCGAGTCAAAATCTTCCTCGAACTTTTTTCGTTTTAAACTAGTAAGAAAAAAGAACTGTGGTCACGCTCTTGCGAGCTTGCTTAACATTCAGTAGTTTTTTTATGTGTTAAATTGGTGTTCTAAGATGGTTTTGTATGAAAAAGAGTAAGAAAAACAAAACAAGAAACAGAATTTTAAAATGATGTCGATTCTCGGCAATTTTTTCTTTAGATTTCGACAATGCGGAGAGTATGGAAGAGGCAGAAGTTCCACCCGATGCAAATGAGAGCGAAGATAATGTCTCGATTGACTCTGCTGAAGGATCTACACAAGGAATGGGATCAGATACAGGAATCCAGTTCAAGAACCCAGGAGATAATAACTACAGCACCTACCAGGAAATCAATAGTAAGTTGCAGATAAATTAACAATATTACAGCAGTTTACCCTAGTGGAATCCACTGGTGAAAAAGTTATGATATTCCAGTTGATCAGAAAACGGCTTTCCGTAGGTGCCAGCATGCATTCAACAGACGGTACCTAAAAATGAAAATGATTATTTATGTGTAGATATGGAAGAGTTTGAGGAGAATTTCTTAGAAAACAATTCTTTAGTTCGATGCTTTTGTGTAAATGTGAAACCGAACGAACTTTGGCCTTAAATTCTTATTTATTCTCCCTGTGGTAATTGGTACTGTTTTGGTATTTGTAGTATTTTGGTTAATTCCTATCTTTCAATTAGTGGTTGTGTCGGCGGAGTTTTATTTAACCCACATTTTGTACAATATTGTTTGCTTCCCCGCACCGAAGTTTCATGGATAAAAATCGATTATAATGGATTTTTGTGGACTAAAATGTTTTCTATGTAATCGATTATCATGGCAAATTTAAACAACGTAATGGATTTCTAATCCATTTTTATCGATTGTTTTCGAAAATAAAAATCCACTAAAATCCATTATAATCGATTATAATCCATTTTTGTTTTCAATATAATGGATTGTTTTTTGTACATAAAATCCATGAAAATTGATTAAAATTTGTAAATAATGACTCTGTTTTTGCAACTTTTTGCAAAACTCGAGCGAACACGTTCATCCAGGGGCGGCCAACAATATAGAGTAATTTTCTAAAAAGGGTCCAAAAACAGCATTTTTGACCAGTTGCTCACGTCACTCCCACCCCCCCCCCCCCCCAAACGTAGCCCCCACCCCCAACCCACGACGTACCCACCTCACGTCAACCCCCCCCCCCCCTCCCCCACGACGTACCCTTCCCTCACGACGTACCCTTCCCTCACGACGTACATCCCTCTCTAGTTAGGGGACATCTAACTGTAGTACGGGTAAGCCTGGGAGGGTGAGTTGGTGTGGGATCTATAGGTAACTTTTCATAAACTTGATTGAAATTCGGAAAAAATGAACTTTGATAAAACTTTTTAAAAAAAATCGAATAAAATCTATTATGATCGATTATATTGGAGTTTTATTGCTTAAAAAATGTTATCAAAATAATCCATTTTCAAACTATTATAACCGATTTTTTTGTTATTGTATAGAGACTGACAATGAAAATCCAATATAATCGATTATTAATCTTTTTCATCCTTATTTTTCAGAAAAACTTACGTTTCATCTATGCAATTTTTCAAAGGCTTCTACTGTTTTATTTTGCAGATAGGCGTATGAACAAAAAAATTGATTAAAGATTTAGATAGTCTATATTGATATCGGTTGCTGACACAAGTTTTTTCAGTTTTTTTCAGAAATGGCCCACACTTTCCAGTCTACAAAGAAAGTACTTTGTAAAACTTTTACGGGAAAATATATATATTGATATAG